AGTGATGTTGTCTTAGTGTGTCCTGACTCTTGGATTACACTGCAGGAAGTTCTTTTTATCTGGGTGTGGAGAAATGCTGTGTGATGGCAAGTAAATACCTGGTGCTTGTCATAAGGTCTATTTATTGGCTTGCTAACTGATGCCCCTGGGCTGGTGAGCCTAACTTGTGTCGCTGAGGGGAATTTGGTGTTGGTAGCAAGTCCCTGCTGGGGGAGAAAGGGCAGAGTGAAGGGAGCTCTTCATTGTGAAATGACTTGAAGACCCAGGTTGACTACTTCCTGAAGTAAAAGTCCTTCTTGTCTCTGTGCAAAATCCAAAGTATGCCTAATTTTGTAATATTGATAGAACAATGTTGTAACTAGAAAGAATGTAGATGTCATGACTTCATGTTGATGGAAATGTCTGCACTGGGGTAATGTGCCTTGGACTGTCCGGGGCACTCTTGTGGTCTTGTCTGTTCAGAACTCCGGGTCTGAAAGGAGAATGTTTTGGGTTTGTTTTTTTCCAAGCATGAGTCTAATGTGAACCTGTTCACGGTCTCTCGTGGAGCAAGATCTGTTCCCTTCATAACTGCAATGGCTCAAATACCATTTATTTTTTTCAAACATTAAAGGTGAATTGACACATTTAAACAGCCTCTAGTTTCTTCTTCATTGCCGGCTGTCCCAAGCAAAAACTGCGCTTGTCCAGAGAGGGTGAGCAGCGAGTTCTCTGCCCTGGAAGATGCTGGTGCCCCAGAGGAGGCAGGTCTGCAGAGGGAGGAACCACCCGAAGAGCCGATGTGGCCCGTCTGTGCTGGTGCTGCCCTCCAGCCTGGCTCAAGAGAAGGAGGGCTCGAGGGGAGGGTGTCCTGCTGCAGCGCCGCTGGGATGCTTCTGGGGCAGGGGGCTCACCTCTTCATGACTTCAGGCAGACTGGGGGTGGGATGGCAGCTGGGGGCCTGGCTCCTGTATGTGCTCAAAGGTGTCTCCCTGCTTTGCAGGAAAGTGGGTTTTCCCTTCAGGCTTCCTCCCTGGGCTCAGCAGAAAGGGGAGGTCTCTCGCCCGTTGCCTGAAGCTGGTCTGTGTTTAATGCCTCTTGTGCTGCAGGTGCTGTGGGCTTGCCCTTCAACACCCCCCCTCAGCTTCCTATCTCGCTCCTGATGCGACCTCAATTTGGAGTTGTGGCCTCCCTGATGTTTTGGGAAAGCTGTGAGCGCTTACCCATGACAGTAGTGTAACAGCTATGCTGTGGGACAGTAACACCAGCGTGAGAAAGGAGGGGAAGCTGAGCTGTAGACAACATGACTCATGCTAAGCAGCTATGAAATGAGCTGAACCTGAAACTCCCAAGCAAGCAGCAGCGTGGCTGTTACACACAGGCAATCTGCTATAACCTACCCCCAGCAGCGCTGAAAAGCAGAGGTGGTTTCTACTTTGGGGGAGCTGGCAGCGATGCTCCTCCTTCAGTAGCCACAGCCAGCGTTTTAACTGGAAGCCTGGCTGCAGGATTTAAGCTCCAGCCGTGCTGTGGCTCTGTACTCCTGGCCTGGATTAACGCTGCGGCTCCCAGAAAACATTTGCAGCCTTGTGGGGTTGAGGTCCTTGAGCCCCCTTGGTGCACAGGGCTCTTGGTCAAAGCAAGTGGTGGAGAAGCCCTCCCGAACGCCAGCTGCAGCACAGGAGCCTGCTAATCCAAACCTGAGCTGAAAAACTCCTCCAGCCCCAGTTCCATCTGTGGGAAAGCAGCCCTTCCAGCCACGTGTCCAGTGGCTGTGGCGCTGGTGTAAATCGGTCCCTGGTGGGAGGTGGAGGCCCTGCCAGGGCTGGAGGGGCAGCGTGCCCTGGAGCTGACACACGCAAGTAGAAAGCGGGTTTGGTGCTTCCTTAGAAGTGTCCCTGCAGCAGGAGTCCTGCTTGAGGCTGAGGAAGAGGAGCTCCAGCTCACTCCTTTAGCAATTAGTGGAACCGAGCCCTGCTCAGCTCCCCGTAACCCCTGCGATGGCCACCACCACGGTACGGTGCGTCCTCAGCCTTCCCCCCAGCCATCTCTGGCGTAGCGCCGCGGCTCTGGAAGGTACAAACCGCCTGAAGTTAAGCAGCGCTTCCCTCTGCACGGCTGAGAGCAGGGAGAGGTTTTACCACGGAGCTTTCTGTCCCCGCTGCCTTCCCCTCCTGCTCCCCAGCAGCTGTCTGGCACAGCTCTTGGCTTCCACTTTTTCCATTGCTGGGCTCGGCTTTGTCTCCAGTTTCCACCAGGCGCAGGTGTCCTGCGTGGTGCCTCGAAGCATTAACTGTTTCCATCCTGGAGAGGCCAACAGCGTCCCGAGTTTCAATGGGAGCATGAAGCTGTTTGGAAACATCTGGATCTGGGGCGCTGAGTGGAAGGTATGTATCTGGGGGGAAACATCTGGAGAAAGAAACTGCTTCCAGATGCATTTGGGCAAAAATGCTATTTAAATGTAAACTCCATATACGTTACTGTCCCGCCTTACAAGCGTTCAGGAACCGCCTGACTGCAGGGGAGCCCGAGGTGCTGGCTGCTGCTTGCGGGGGGAGGTCTGGGTGCAGGACTGGCTGCAGATGTGCGTGTGCACCCGCTGCGGGTAACGGCGCGGTTTGTGGTGGGGGAGAGCGCCGCATTATTTTCTCTTGTACAAGCCAAGTTATTCAGCTCCTCGTGTCGAGTATTTCTTCCAGATGTGGCCTTACCAAAGCAAAGTTTTGTGGTGCTGCAGAGCAGACAGGCTGGGTTTTGGTAGCTCTGCTCCACGTGTGTGACTACTAGACATCGTGTAGGATGCATTCTTCTGCGGAGGGAGCATGGGGTAAAGCCTCAGGAGAAGGTGTGTGACCCCATTAGCAGGGAGAGCTAGCCTTGGTTCCCAGCACAAGGTTCTTCCCCCCCCACTTCTCTCTGGCCACCTGGGACTCCAGGAAGGGCCAAAGTGACGGCAACGTCCTCCCCACCCTGGGCACCCTGCTCCGGGGGGAACACCCAGGCTGCAGGTCAGGGCTCTCCTTCCCCCCCATCCAGCAAAGCCAGCCTGCGGCGCTGCCGCCGCAGTGTTAATCCACCCCAGGCACGTGGAAGCCGAGCCTGTCGCTGGGAAAGCCGGTACCCAACGGACACGTTCCTTCTCGCCCTGCTTTTGCGGGAGATTTGAGATGAAGCGAGAAAACGTGGAAATCATTTTTATCTCGCGCTCTGTCTCCGATGGGTAAATCCTGAGGAGGCCGGTGCCACACAGTGAAGGAAGCAGGGCTGTGCCATCCCTGCCCACCCGAGGTTTCCCTGCTTTGTTCTATTTATTGAGCAACGATCCTGACACCCTTTCCCAGACTGTGACTCATAGCGGCACTATCTGTGCATAAGCCGTGCGTCTCGGAGCGCTTTATAGATACAGGAGCTGCAGGAGCCTCGCAGGAGCCAACTGTGTTTATTAAAAGATGATCAGATGTTTCCTCCCTTAAGGCGGTGTCTAGCTGAGGCTGAGTAATAACTCATTACCAACGAGACAAATAACTGCTCATCGTCAGGTCAGCGCCTTCCCCAGCCCTCCCGTTAGCGATGCAGGCACCGTGCTTCTGCACCGAGCGCCGGTGGCCTCGGCACCCAGCACCGGGGTTAAGGAGGGAGCTGCCCTGCTGGACGCCGCTCCGGTCCCTGTCCCTGCTGCTGCTGGCAGCCTGAGCAGGGGCAACCCCGGCGGGGGGCAACCCCGGGCTCTGCTCGGCTGCTCCCCAGGGCTTGGCCCTGGGTTAAGCTTGAGGAACGGTTTTATCCAGCCCGGGTGTAGCTGGTTTCCCCCCGCCTGTGGAAGCGGGCTGCTGTAGTGGCCTCGCAGGCCGCGTCTTTCTGTCCTAGTGCTGGGCACTCGGAGCGAATGCACCAGAGCTTGCTGTGGCCCGGTGGAAAAATCAATGGTGGGCCAGCACAGCGTGCCGCAGAGGCGCCCCGGGAGCCCTGCCGGGGCCGTGGGCAAGGCGGGATGTAACGTTCCACCACGTCCCCTGTCCCGGTGTGCCCCGTGCTGCCCGACGTGGCAGCGCTTGCTCACGGGGCTCGCTCTCTCTTGAGGGCTGGGCTGGAGGAGCGGGAGGCAGCGAGGAGCGGGGCCAGCGCTCATCCCCTTGCGGGACGTGGGGCCGGGACCCTTGCAGGCTTGGTCAGAGGCTTTCCTCAGACGCCATCCTCCGGCGCGGTCGCCGTGGCCCTTCCCTGCCAGAAGCCGTGGCATCCCTCCATGTCCTTTGTTCCCTCCCTTGCTTACGCGTCTCCGTTGATTTATGGCCATTGCGGAGCAGCCTGACCGCAGCCCAGAGCCTGGCCAGGCTGCGTGTCCTCCCCCCCAGCCTGCTGGGCAGGGAGGCTTTTGGGGACATCCAAGCCCCCCCTGCGCAATAAGGCCCCCTCTGCATTTAAACACGTGCGTGGCCTTTTCTTTCCCCTCCTTCCAGCCTGGGTGTGAATGAAGTGCTTTCAGGGGGAGGAGATTGCCGGGAGCCCCACTCTCCCTGTGCATGGGTTGCAGCCCATAAAAGCATCCGAGGAATCCGCCGCAGCAGTCCCTGCGCGGGGTGAGCGCCGTGAAAGCCGCCTTTTGTTCCCGCAGCCCTGGCCACCGAGTCCCACACAGGGACGGGGCTGGAATCTGCAGAGCTGGATGTGTGCTCCCACCGGCACGTCGCCCTTCGCGGCCCCGTCGTGGGCACCACGCTGCACCCAGGCCGTCGGGAAAAGGTTTTCCCCACGTCTTACCCCGGCCAGGGTGGGCAGCCTGGGGTGAGCAGCGTTGGGTGCCACCGGGGGCGCGACGGAAGGATTTCGCCGGGGTTTACCAGCAGGGTTGAGCGCCTGCCGGTACACAACAGTGTGACCCAAGCTTTAGCCCTGTGCTGCTTAAGCTGAGTCAGAGGAACGGAAATCCCTTCTTACACAGATATTTTTCCACTAAGTGTTCGATTACAGGTTTGGGGTTTAATCTCGCACCC